AGGCAGTTGCAACCACTGCATAATCAAACTCTAATTTCTCCGACGCACTTCAAGTAAGCTATCATTTCAGCACACAAAAACCCATTGACGACGCGCTGAGCACGACGGTTGGGCCCCAAGGGGCTGCCCACCAAAGTGCGAAATGGCGGAGGCTCTTATCCCTTCACTACATTTTTCTTTTCAGCATACAAAAACAGAACCCATTGACGACGCGCTGAGCACGACGGTCGGGCCCCAAGGGGCTGCCCACCAAAGTGCGAAATGGCGGAGGCCCTAATCCCTTCCCTGTTTTTTTTTTTTAGCACACATAAAAAACCCATTGCCGATGCGCTGAGCACGACGGTTGGGCCCCAAGGGGCCGCCCACCATAGTGCGAAATGTCGGAGGCTCTAATCCCTTCACTATTTTTTTTTTCAGCTCACATAAAAAACCCATTGACGACGCGCTGAGCACGACGGTTGGGCCCCAAGGGGCCGCCCACCATAGTGCGAAATGGCGGAGGCTCTAATCCCTTCACTATTTTTTTTTTCTTTTCAGCACACAAAAAAGAACCCATTGACGACGCGCTGAGCACGACGGTTGGGCCCCAAGGGGCCGCCCACCATAGTGCGAAATGGCGGAGGCTTTAATCCTAAAAACTGTAACACCCAGTAAATCGAAAGATTTCCAAAAGCTCCAGCGGAGCGCCAGAGCGTTTATTCAATAAAAAAAAAGATATGAACAATAAAAAGACATACAGTATATGATGATGGAAGTAAACTATGAACTATAACTATATGCAAAAACTACCAAAAAATAATACCACAAATAAAACTAATCTAGTCTATATATTTATAATAACAATGATATCAACTATTCGTTCTTGAAGGCAAAGGAAGGCTGGCCAGGGACAGCGGTTTCAGCGTTCTTGGCATCTTCTTCGGTCCAATCTTCGCTCTTCAAAATAGTCACAGTGTTGAATCCAAGGTTGCGTTTAATTTCATCTTCGGCCAAAACCAAAGTATCAGTTTCGTTGAACACTAAAGCACGATCCAATCCTTCAAAACCATTCTTTTCGACCATTTTCTATATTATCCAGAAAAAAAAAATAGGAGAGAGAGAGAGAGAGAGATGAGATTCCGTTGCAAACTCACCAATTGTTTTTATTTCTTCCATCTCATGTTACCTTTTGTTCTTGCACGAATGGCATTGTCTTCTTATTCTTGAGAATGCCCTTTGCACCGAGCACCTCCCGTACCTTGACATCGTCGAATTTTCCGGTAGCCTATATGATATAATACACACACATACCCGTCCAGAAAAAAAAAAAAAAAAAAAAAAAAAAAGAGTGTAAGCATATAATAAGTCTATTTCATTACCTCATCAATATTTTTCTTTTGTGTAATTTTTACCTGGTTGTAATTTGCCTTAAGAGCTTGTACACAGTCTTCTTGCCATTCTGGGAATTTGGTGGCAACATAGATGCTAAGACTCTTTGGGGCATTGGGGTTGAAGGTAATTTGAGCAGCCTTGCCCTTCTTCTTCTTCTGAGTAGCGGTTTCAGCATCACGGATAGACTTGATGGTACGACGAATGTAGACAGTGGCGGCCATGAGGATTTCATCAACAGGAGCAGTAGGCTTGGGGAAAAGAGCATCAACTACTAAACCATCCTATAGTCGTTGCATAAAATAAATAAATAATGTCAGTGACTATTTTCTGTGAATGAGTGATCTCGCTTTCCTTTTTTTTTTTTACCTTCTTAAGAACATCACGCCAGACATATTCGGCCCAGTGAGGACAGATAGGAGCCAAAAGGAGAGTTTGGTTGGTGATATAGCGTAAAACGAGATCTTTATGCATGCCAACAGTCGTACAAGCTTGCTGATAATTATCACGAGCGGTTTGGAATTCAAAGACACCATATTTGACAGCATCGCGATAATGGGTAAGAGTATAATACTTATCAGACAAAGAAATATTGTTGTTCATTTCGTTTTCGAAGATACGATCAAAGAAATTGAATTCGCCAGAGCGGAGGGAGTCCAATGATTTGATTTGATCTTCGCACCATTCCAAAAGAGTATACAAACGTAAAATGGCTGCATTGGCAGTAGCATCTTCAAAGTTAGCATCTTCCACAGAGTCACCAGCATCGGCAAGAGCGAAACGAGTAGCATCAGCACCATACTTGAGCACAGCATCGCTCATAGTCATGAAGTTACCAGTAGATTTGCTCATTTTTTTGGAGTCCAACATCAAATGGCCATTGGAGCGCACAGCACGGGGCCACATTTCACGAGGGAAGATTGCAGTGTGGTTGTACAAGAAGAAGGTCAAATGGTTAGGAATCAAATCTTTACCAGAGCATCGGACATCCAAGGGATAGAAGTATTCGTATTCACGACGCAACTTGTCAAGTGTGCTTTGAGAAGGAACATCGGTTTCATCGGCAGGGTAAGGACCAAGCTTAAACACATAATCCCAGACAGCATCGGTCATTTGATCTGCCCGGATACCAGCAGGACCAACGGTAGCTCCACTGAGAGAACCTTGCTGTAAAAGATGAGCCACGGTGTAGTAAGCCATGTAAATGGTAGAGTCAGAGAGAGATTCCACCAAGAATTGTTTGTCCCAAGGCAATTTTGTACCAAGACCGAAGCTACGTGCACATGCCCACTTGTTCAACCAACCCAATGTATGTTCAAATTGATGACGAGTTTCAAGAGTAAATGTTTCCATGCCAGCCAAGCATTCTTCGGTCTGAGCCCGCCATTCAGATTCACCATAATCGAGGTACCATTGATCCATAAGCGCTACGACACATTCGTCACCAGAGCGAGACATGACCAGACCTTCCGGTTCGTTGTAGACAAAGGCTTCCTTGGAGTCGATCAACAAATCACGGATCTTGTTCTTGGCATCTTGCACCTTCATACCCTTGTAGTCACCAATGATCACAGTACCTTGATAGAAAGCTTCTTTGTAAGCGAGTTCCTTGGCTTCGGCGAGCTGAACACGATCCTTTTGGGAGTTGATCTTTTTGATTTCACACAATTTGGGAGCGGTAAGAGTACCATAGGTGGGAGTTTCAATGATAGGCACAGGTTCAAAGTTCACCCATTCAGGTTCCACGTTGTAGTAGGCACACTTCTTCTTCAAATCTTGCAATGTAGCGAAATCATCAGGAGAATCAGAAGGAACAGAAGTAACAACACCAGTACCCTATTAAATAAAAAATAAAATAAAAACAACGATGAGTCATCATGTTTCGCTTGTATTTTCTTTTTCAAATCCTGTTTTTAGTTTTTTCATTACCTTGGTTGGTAAAACATTTTCCATAGGGAGCACATAGACTGCATCATAGATACTTAAAGGAGCCTTGATCTTTGTACCAACAATAGCGTCACCCTTGATATCAGCCAATTTGATAAGTTCACCTTCCTTCGCAAAAATCTTTTGGAAGGCCATGTTGCGAGCAGCACGTTCAGTCACCAAATAAGCATCGGTATCGTTGACTTGATAAACACCATAGGTAATGCCAGGACCCACAAAGCAGTTTGTTTGACCGTACATTGTTTCAGGGCGGAGGGTAGCAGCCACCATATAGATATTCTTGCCTTTCAAAGCATCATCAAATGGAGCAATAGCGGACTTGGCAGCATTAGACCAATCGAGCACCTTCATCTTGATACCAGTGTATTCTTGAGGATTCAAAGCTTCACCCGATTGGCGATCGTGATCCATACAAGGTTGCTGATCCAAAGGCGAGTAAATAGTGTAACGTTCACCGAACTTGACCTTATTCATTTGCCGAAGCTTGTTCATTTGCCAGCGCACGAATCCATCATAGTAAGGGTTCGCATCGGTGGTGATAAATGAGCGGCGCCAATCGACCTTGGATCCAAATGCTGTCATATCGCTGATTGTTTGAGGAGGGAAGTATTCAGTCCAGTAGTAAGGATTGGCAAATTTGTGGATTTCTTCACGAGGAATACCAAGACTGAGCATGATTTGGAATTGGTAGGTTACATTGCCGGTCTTTGCTGCCACCTTGCTCTTCTTCGCCACAGCCACCTTTTCTTCGAGTTGGTTGGAAAGAAGCATTTCTTCATAGCGTTCAAAGTTGTTACCAAAGAGCTCCAATTCACGGGTCAACTTGTCAGCACAAGCCTAGATAATCATATTATATATGTATATAAAACGAATGAGATGAATGATATTTCACAATATCAAATGTAGTTTCCACCCATCTCCTAAATAATTTTGTGTACTTACCTTGATGGGCATACCAGTACAATGAAAACCTTGGGGCAAAAGAGCACGTTTACCCTTCATACGTTCGTAACCCACGGCAAAATCAACCTTAGAGAAAGAGAAGGCGTGACCCAAGTGAAGGCGTCCGTTCATGTAGGGGTAAGGCATACAAGCCATGAACTTGGGATATGCAGTGTGAATGTCGTCACTGTTGGCGTGTTCTTCAATCGTAGGAGCATTGATTTCAAAAGCTTTGCTGTCATCCCAAAGTGTACGAGCTTTTCCTTCCAAATCACGGAGGTAATCACGTTTGGCTGTCTATTTATTTCGAAAATATAAACTGTTAAGATCAGGCGAACTAATCGTTATTTGCATTCAGCATCTTTTCGTTTTTTCCTTACCTTTGGTGCCTCAGTAGTCATGTTCTTGTGAATTAAAGAAAAAAAAAAAAAGAAAAAAAAAAAAAAGGGAAAGGAGAGGTTAAAAAGTTGATGTGTCATAATTTGTTATTTTTTTTTTGTGGGCGGAGTTTTGAAAAAAGCCGTGGCTTAATCCAGCACCAGTGAAAAACAATGGCATTACTGAGATATATATAATTTGTTACATGATTATCTCTTAAGTTGACCACTCACTATATTTACATGTATTAGACGTCTCTAGTTTATTTTCCAAGAGATTATGCATACAAGCAAGTGGGGTTTCGGTTGTTAAGGCGACTTTTATTACTGCTATATATATTATATACAGATTTTTCGAAAAGTTTGTCCCATGTGGTCTAGTGGCTAGGATCCCACGCTCTCACCGTGGTGGCCGGGGTTCAATTCCCCGCATGGGAGACGTTCTATTTTGCCCTAACGTGGGTTTCTTTTGAATTTTGCTTTAACGGATCATTCTTTTTGACTTTGTCACGACTGATTTCGGTTTTTAGGTCGTACCTGAAAATTGGTTTGTTACGGTTACTTTTGAGTAGTTATAGATTGTATGTACCAAATATGTTATGGTTTGTTTGATTTTTATAAGCCGAAACGGTGTTGTATTAACCTTTTGTTATATTTTACACCAACTATATAGTGTATAAGTGTATGATTGTTCTTGCTTGAACGGATTTGCAGTAGATTTGTAGCGAGGATCAAAAAATATTTTTCCCCTGAATCGGAATTTGAAATGTACTTTTTTGTTTACTTGACTTGTAGTCTTGAAAATAAATAGAGAGCACCAAATATATTATTTGATATAAGTAGAAAGTACCAGATATGGTGTTGGTAATAAGTAGTGAGCACCAGAACTTTTGTGGATAAAGTCCAACTTGAAATAAAAGAAGTCTTAAAAAGAAAACTTGATAAAATAAAATAAAGTAGAAGTATTGACCTTAGCTGGTTCAATAAAAATAAAAAAGAGTAAGTAACTCTGAAAATAAAATAAAGTGGATTTCTATAGCAAAATAGAAATAAGAGATAACTTGATGGTTATAAAAAAAGACCTTTATACTAAACTTTTTATTGACAAATGAGTAAAGTAAGAAAAAAACTAAAGAAAACTATTTTCTAACCAAAAAGTTTGGCCTTTTTATACTAATTTTTGAAGGAGCGGAGTGGAGTTGTCGTTGACGAGATTTAGCGTGGCGGAGTATGTAGTTGGTAGACGAGGGAGGCGGAGAAGATGAAGTCGACGACGATGGCCATCAATTCACTCATATCAAACAAATTAGCCAAGTCTAGACCGGCGTTGACAGTTTCGTAGGTTTTTATTTTTTATAATGTGAGCAGGAACTTTTTAGGGTGAAATTCAATCGTTTGTAGCTTCAAAGGTTTGAAAATAAAATAGGATTAGACTTGAAGGTCCGAGTTGTGATATACATTACTTTCCAAAGTGAAAGTAATAAGATCAACAAAATGAATAAAGTTAGATCAAGTCGAAAAGAAAAATAAAATGCAATTCAGACTCAGCTGTCAAAGGTTTGTGACAAAGGTATTCCAAAAGTTGGAATAAAAGAAAGGCAACAAGCTTTGGATGGTTTAAAAAAACCGTGATAAGGAATTTATTGATGAGAAAAATAATAATGTAAAGATTGATTGATTCAAAAAAAAAAAAAAAAAAAAAACTTTTCCCCCGGTATTTATACTTCTTTTAAATGAGTTTTCACTACTATTTTTATACAGCATTTTTTAAAATCCCGTCATTAAGCGTTCAGGACAACAAAAGATATCCTTTTGATACAGTAAAAAATATGTTTCACACCAAATATATGATCCTTACTGAGGTTTCGTTCTATTGGAGCGGATTTTATAGTGTGAAGGAAAAGAGAAATTGTCCCTGGATGGGGATTGAAATGTATTTTAATCCTTTATTAAGGTCCTGAGCCTATGCTTTAAATAATAGTTCAACTCAAGAATTTTTTTATAAGCGTCAAGATAGAGTAAACTGAGGAGAGCATTGAATTTTGAGTCCTGAGAGCTGAAGTTGGTATGTGGAGTGCTAGAAGATAGACATCAACAAAGAAATTTGACAAAAATGATTAATACGCTCCAATCAATGGAAAAAGTTAACCTGTTTTGTACAAATAACTAGTCCGCTCCGAGATAGCCACTTTTAGCATAACGCCGAACAAGCCAATACTCTCTATCAAAAAATAAAATAAAATATAACCTAACAATTCCCTTTTTTTCTAATAGCGTCATCGAGCGAGCTCTAAAGAGCGGCAAACCACAGTAAAAGAAAATAACATTGCCTAACGAAATACCCTCCCTCCTGGTGGGATCCATTCCAAAAACGCACATTGAAACACACTATATGGAATCTATTGGAGATAGCATAAGGGAGATTATTGGGACGAGGAACTGTGAAGAATGATCAACATCAATCTAAAGAAACAATCGTAATAAAGAATCTAATATACTGTATAAGGCAGGCAATACATGCAAAAAACTGTAAATGGATATCTTTTATTGAAGCGGAACAACTGTCAACACTATTTTAAATAGGTGATGGTAAAAAGGGATCTATTGCACAAGACAAGAGAGAGAGTAATGGGATGCTTTTCATTGAAGCAATCAAAAGAAGACAAATTTTATTCAACATATATACAAGATACGGGCAAACTAAGACTAAACTAATCTAATGGCGACTTTAAATAGCCAACTAATGGTGGTCCCAAATCTTGAATCCAAAATGAAAGGGTTTCCCCATGCACCTTATAATCCCTGTTCTAAAGAACCTTCTAAACTAGTCCTGATACTATTCTAATTCCACCATAACCCATGAAGATCATAATTATGAAGAATTAAAGAAAGAAAAGGAAGAGAAAGAAAGCAAGAGATTGAAAAAAAAATTGGGAGAAAATAAGGATTAAAGTGTGCGGAATTTGAAATATTTTCTGTGGTGTGCAGCTGAACTTTTTCCAGTAGCCTTTTTCATTTCGATGGAAAAAAAGAGAAAGGCAAAAGAAGGTTCCAAGGGACACATTCTTTCTAGATATTGTATGGTTACACACATTGCAATAACGATGCAATTTCATTTTCCCGGCGAAATGGTAATTGTGGGATCCTACTGAATTTTTAGCAAGACAACAAGGGTCACCAATTCTATCCGCTTATTGTCAGATGTTTATAGGCATGTACGTGTAATATTTTCAAGATTTATGCTCGTATACTATTGAACAGATACGTGTGCATTTTTTCGTTGTGATTTTCTTTAACATTATATATGACACTATTGCTCATCACCTTTCCTCGAGAATCTATTGATAAAATGCCAAACTTGATCTTCCATCAAAATCGAGCACAAAAAAAGTGACCTTTCTCGTGGCCGCCCATATCCTATATATGAAAAAATACTACATAATATCTAGAATACGAATCACGAGACAGATGACGGCATTCTTTGTTTAGTGTTAATGTATTGAAGCAGCTGAGCATTGACCATATGTTTTAATATAAAAAAGTTTGATATAACGTATATAATCATATAACTATATTTATAACGAAATAAAAAAGAGTAGAAACCATAATATGGATTTGTTTTATTTGATAAGGTTATACAATAATAATATGAATGCATGAAGTATACAAAATGAAGGGGAATAATACTATACAAAACAAAAATAAAAAATAAAAAAGAAAAAAGAACATGGAGAGAGAATAGAAGGTATCAATGAGTGTAACTATATTACTATAAATCATAAAAATGGAAGGCAAAGACATGATGGAATACAAGGAAAAGACAGTCTTTATGCCCACAAACCAATGAGAGCCATAATACCAGCACCAATATACATAGACAAAAAGCAAACACATTTTCGTGATGCTGATGATTTTCTGAATTCTTGACTGTGGTTGATTTCCAAGCTCATCAGCGAGACGTAGGCATTGTACAATAGAATACCGGCCGACAATGAATCCAAAATAGCGCTGGATAATACACTTGAGGAAGAGTTGGGGTTGAAGGATGAGTGAATACCAATACCAATACTGATTCCGATAGGAGTCATAACAATGTAAAGCATACCCATAATAAATGGACGGACCCAACTTCCTCGACAGACTTCATTGACCCGAGTACCAAGAGCGATCCCTTCAAAAAACTACGAGTAAATAATATCCCGAAAATTAGTCAACAATATTTTTTTTTTTTTTTTTTTTTTTTTTTTGTTCGTAAATTCCTTACCTGATGGAAGATCAAAGCTATCAAAAGAGTAGTAAATTCAGTCATTTGTGTGTTTGCCAATGTAATACCGATGATGATACTGTGCATTACAATTCCCAATTCCAGTATGATGGTGTTGATATCCTTGAATGCGTTTTCGTTATCTAAAAATCCAGCACTATGCACGTGTCCATGATGATGGTTTTGACCTTCTTGTTGTCGTTGATCATTTTTTTCGTAGACGAATTGGGCAGTTGTGGCAGATGAACCCATAGATGCTGTATTACCAAGCGGCGGTCGCCCAGTCGTGATCGTAACGGCATGGTTGATGGTGTTATTACTGCACTCGTGATTACTGTTGTCCGCTTCACAATCGACATTTATTTCATCTGCACAGTCTTGTTTTTGTGCAAGTAATCGATCGACATTGCTGACAGCTGCTAATTCCAAGAGTTGTAACGCGAAGGAGGAGATCATACAAAAAACACCCGCAAAAGCCCCATACGTTTTCCAACCTTCGGCAAGACATGGGCTGGAGAAATTATCCATCGCCTCAGGGAGCAGATGCACAAAAGCAGTGGCTAGGAGGACACCAGTACCAACTATTTTGCAAAAATGATTTATAAAAAAAAAGGAGTGTAAGAGAACATATATCACATAGTAATGTATTGTGCTTACAAAATTTGCCGATAGTTAATATCCAATCCTGCAAACTGCCTTCGCTGTAAGGTCGAATACGATGAATGATCATAGGAGTGAACGTCCCTAAAATAAAAATATCGAGCTTTAGTCTAAAATGAAGAGGTATCGGGTAACGATGACATATGCAGCCATGTGTGAAATTTTGCCTCACCTAAAGCACTTGTTATAAGAATTATAAAGATAGATCCTACTCGTAATCCCATGTTGTAGTCATCGAGTGATTCGGCCGAGCAAGCATCCTGTTCAGCAACTAATGACATACAGCAATAGTATCAAATAAAATATATATTAAATAAGAGGTTAAAAAGACGAATAATCTCAAATAGTCAACATATTATAAACTTTTTTTTTTTTTTTTTTTTGAAATAGGTAGGGAGTCAAAAAAATTACCTTCTTGGGCGTTGGCAGATAAAACCAATATTAATATAATGGATAAAATATAAATGATACGAGGGTATTGTAAGTACATGAACCAACTTGGTAAATCAATAGG